ATGGCAGCTGGTCCCATAAGCAGCTTGAGAAACACTTGAATTCACGACCAAAAGTCCCAGGAGTAGAAGTGGCTCAAACAAATCCCATCGGGGCTGTGTCTCATGCAGCAAGAGCAGGATTGCGCTCGTACACACCCATGAATTATCCCATCCAGAGCCAGCTGGGTGGATAGGTGTTCTCATTGTTTGGAAATTTGTTGGTGGGAAAATATGAACGACCTCACAGCACATAGTTCTCTGCTGTGTCTGAGTGGCTTGCCAGTCTCTGGAGGCAGAGGCTGCCTGGGTTTGCCTTGCACAGAGCCAAGCACACTGTCAGCACTCAGTTAGACGTGGATATATGGTTTCATGCTGACTCAGAGCTCAAAGATAGCCACTGCTTTTTAATTCCTGAGCATCCCTGCATAGAGAGAGCAAGCTATTTTTACCTGAACCTGAACCTTTCTAGCATTATTCCTGGTAGGAAAATATAAAACCTATGCGCTTGAAGTCAAAACTGAAAGAAGGGATCTTTTCTTGGAGGTGCCTGTGATCCTCTCGACCTTCCAGTAACGGAGGAAATGCCTGTGTCTGTGTGTCGATGCCTCTCATCTTTCTTGGTTATTCTCCGTGGATGACCCACTGGCAGGAGAAGCCCCTCTGGGAGAAACAAAGGGTTGATCAGCCCACGTCAGGACAGAGGCAGCGGTGTCTTTGGGACCAAGAGGTGTAAAGCTGATGGGTCAGAGCTGTTTCAGGGAACGGTTGTAGAGACACTGGTAAATTTTTGTTTGAAGGGAAAGAAGAGAAGAAGAAGAGCAATGAAGTCTAGTTCCCGTAGACAGAAAGTCTGCGTGACTGTTAAATATAAAGTCTGTAGTTTCTCCCTCTCCCCTCATCTCCCTTGCTTCCCCTGGCTGGGGGTTTACTTTTCCCCTGGGTGCACAGTTCCCCTCCCGAGAAAGGAAGGTGCGGGCTGACTGGCAGCTCCCTGGCCGTAATCCCTGACAGATGACAGAAGCTACAGGACATAAAGTAGGCACAAGAGGCTGGGGAGGATGCTTTCCTTCTCTGGTGGCTGTTTGGGTGGGAAAGGTACGATCTTTTTTTTTTTTTTTGGGCTGCACCTTTTTGTAATTCCAGGCACACACAGCAAAAGCTGGGCAGTGCTGGCTGTGACGGCGCTTGTGCACCTGTACAGGGTGGGACAGGCGTTCAGAGGCAGAAATAGCCACCGAGCCATCCTGTTTGGGCAATTATGCTCTTCCTGCATTCTCGCCGCAGTCGGTATTTCAGCAGCTAAGCCACAAAGGGAGCTATAAAGACAAATATGTTCTCTTTTTGAAAATACCTGTAGTTAAAAGAACCTCCCTCCTGGGATGGCATTCATTATGTGACTGTTTATTCATCCTTTGCTCACATGGTAATTTCCTCCTGCAGAAATGGATCTGAGCTCCACGCAGGGCTGGGACTGAGCCACTTCTTGCTGGCACTGTCGGAGATAATTCACCACGAGAAATGAGCTGCATGGCACACGTAATGGTGACTGTCATCGCTATACCTGCCCACCGCTGCTCCAAACACAATCGCTGCTTTTCAGTCGCTCATCCCAAACCCCAGTGGATTTCTAATTCTGCTTGCGCTGGGCGTCTCTTCAAGAGCTGGTGATGTTGTGAGGTGGCTCTGAGTGTAGATGGGAAGAGGGGCTGTTGGTTGGGAAGAGGCAAACGCAGCGCCAGGCTCTGTCCCAGCGCTCTCCTATTAGGAAAGGTTTGTGGCAGCGAGTGGAGCTGGAGCTGCAGTGGTGTCACTTGGATATTTACTGGGGAGGGGGTGAGTGCAAGGAGCAGCAAATGCTGTGGAAGGGGGAGAGCAGCCAGACAGGCAGTGGCGGGCGCCAGCGCCAGGCTCCCTTACTGTAAAGCATCCCCCTGCCGTATGCTGCAGCCGTCTGCCTCTACAGATTAATCCTGTTTCTGCTGCCCCTCTCTCCAGCTGAACATGCTGGCAGCTTTCTGTCTTCCAGATAAGATCTCTCCTTCGTGCTCTTAGTTGTTGCAGAACCTCAGCTCCTGATCTAGAGTAACTCAGGTTTGCGTCCCGCCTGGTACCATGCTCTAGATTCGTTCACCTCTCTTCTGCCAGCCCAGGCTGTTGTGCGGGAGCCTCGTCTGTCGTTTGCAGGAGTAATTGCAAAAATTGATTCATGGGAAGTGCCTGTACCAGGCAGATCCTTTTGACAGACCACACAGCCCTCCTATTCTGCGTTTATTTGAGTCAGTCAATGCTCTGATGCATATTTGGGTCATAAATACTCTGATATAAATTGCATTTATTGTTATGACAGCTGCATGCCGTCACCGATTATTTATTAGGTTCTGTTGTCCTTTCACTCTACACCTTGTGGAGCTGTCAAGTCAGCTGCTTACCGGTGACAAAGCTCACAGCTCAGTTCAGAATCTTCCAAAAATAAATTCTCCAAAGGGATTTGAGTAACAGCAGGATGTATGCTGTTGGAGAAGCGTCGGACAATCTTTTTGTTTGTTTTATTGGAAACAGGAGGTTTGTACTTTTTGCCCACTTTTGCCCAAATTCCAGAATTAGACTTTGCATTTATCATCCAGAAGTCATGGAAGCAAATAATCCTACAGATTAATGTGAATTTTGGATCACACCCTCCATGTCTCAGAGTTGAAGTAATCGGGTTGTTTGTTATTTGAAATGGTGGGATGCTCAACTGGAGATTTCTAATTTTCCCTTAGAACCTTTTTTAGCTTCATGTCTTTTTACATTGTAAAAAGGGCAGAATATCTGAGATGGATGAATTCAGTGTCCTTCCAAGGGTAAGGTCAAATTGCAATGGGCACGCTGCTCCGTACGAGTCAGAGTCATTTTCTGCCTCTCATTGCCCATAAACAGCCACGTCTCCTTTGTACCAGCTTGCTGCACCAGCTCTGCAAGGTGCCAGGCACCTTGGTGTTAATTCAGGAAAGCACTTAATCATGGAATTGATGGCTCTGAAGCGCTTAATATGAGCGTGTGCTTAAGTGCCCTGTTGGTCTGGGGCCAGTGCAGATGTACCCTTGCAGAACAGAGATTTGGAAGCCAGTTCTGGTCTGCTAGAGCCGAGCTCCCTGGGGATGGAGGGCTGCAGGGCTGGTGCAGCGCAGGGAGCGGGGCTGGGCTGGGCTGGGCTGCCCGGGCTTCCCCGTGGTACCAGCCCCACGGACCCACGGGGGGACTGCTTTCCCAGGGACAGAGCTCAGCTGGGTTTCAGGCTAGCAGTGTAGTTTCTCTGTAAAACACAAGAGATGAAAACAGCGCGTAAGTGCTTGTAGTTGTATTCGACAGGTTTTGTTTGCGCGAGGATTTGGGGATGGATGTGAGGACTGAGTGTTCTGTCTGCTGGTAGATTAACAGCGACGTTGTTCACAGCGTTCCTACTGAAATATGTGTAATGATGTTGCGGCTGCTTCTTTTCATGGCTTAACATTTCTGTATTACCTTAGTTTATTTTACTCTAGATGTTAAAAGAGTTAATCTGTAATTCCTGTCAAATATCCCGGTGCAAAACTGACATACACGCAATCATACGGCTCACAAGATATAGATGCAAATGGCTATGTGTTATTTATAAAGCAGCTTTGACATCTTAATGTATTAAAAAGGAAGAGACATTTAGATCATTTCATAGCTCAGCATTCTGCGTGGTTTTGAGCTGTCATATATCATTAGCGATGAAAAAATCATAATTTGAGTCTTAACCGCTTTAATTCTATGTACACATTCCAGCCAAAGGGGTGTGTGTCCTCTGCTCCTACCTTTGTGGTTTTTTTTTTTTCCCCCCTATTCTATCCCTCTTTACCCCCTTTTATACAAGTAAAAGCAGACAGCTAGGGTCAGGCAATGCCAGAAGCACCCTTGCCTTCTAGGAACTGCCCGGTAATTAACGAGAGTCATCCCTAAAGAGGGATCTCCAGGTATTCTGGTGTCCCACCCCAATCCTTCTGGGTCTGCTGGACCCAGGCAGAGAAAGTCAGAAAGTTCATAGTACACAGCAGTAAAATCGATGGAGTTGCTCTCATCCAAATCTCAAATGTGGACAGGGCAAAGCCAGGTAGAAATCAGCTTCAACCCTGGCAGCTCCGGCCAAGTTCCACGTTAACCATCACACGGTGCGAGTGCCCCCGTTCAGGTGCCACTGGCCAGGTCGGTTTGAGCCGGGCTGGAGGAGTGAACTCTGAAGTTCGGGAGATCTGGCAGAGATGATTGTGTCAAGAGCCTCATTCCTACAGACGGAAGGTCTGGGGTTAATGCTTTGGGGCTCCTGAGGGGGAAGCAAAGGGGAAAGGGGAACTTGTGATGCTTCAGAGGAGGACGTTCCTGGCCTGCCAGCGCTGCGGGGGTTAAAACTCCTTCTTTGCAGGAAATTGTTGCTCAGTGATGGGTTTAAACACAAGTTCAGTGCTGGTGAAAGGATCTAACGAGGAGCTGGGAGCTTTCTGTCTAAGGACAGGGCTGGTCCCAGCAGGGTGACAGTGGTGTTGACTGGTTTTCCCGCTGTTCCATGGTTGCCTTAAAACACTGCCAGGAAGGATGAACAAACTCCGTTTTCGGTTCAAGGCCACCAAGGAGCCCTTGGCTTGCTTTCTGTCTGCTTGAAGCTCCTTCCGACCTCCAGTTCACCTTCCCGGTGACATTTAGGTGAAGCTTTCCGTTTATTCTGTCCTGGTTTTGCCCGTCCCCGGATGCTGAGCTCTCAGCAGACTGCGAGGGGCTGGTGCTTTCAGTGTAATGCACGTTCACTGGGCTGAAGTTTCTCTGGGAATGAGAAATCTGTTTGATGAAGGGAACGGTGACTTCTGAAAGCCTGTCGGGCTGCGCAGCTTCGTAAGCGAGGGCTGCAGGATGGCTAATTAAATGGAACGGCTCTCTAGAGGATTTGGTTTGCAGAAAATTAGTTTTCATGTTCTTGGCTTGATGTTTATTAAATGTTTCTTTCCTTTTTCTCTCCTTTGCAGTTTTCATCTGTAGTTTCATGGTTGCAGCACCTATCTTTGGTTACCTTGGTGACCGTTTCAACAGAAAGATCATCCTCAGCTGTGGGATCTTCTTTTGGTCAGCTGTCACTTTTTCAAGCTCCTTTATCACCGAACAGGTAAGATCCTTACAGAGCCACGTTGCAGGGTGTCCTGAAAAGATGGACAAAACGTTCCTAAAAACTCCCCATTAGTGTGCTCCAGGGGAACTGTCCCTCCGGTGTGTATTTGGCACAGAGTGCAATGTGTTATCTGACCTTCTATAGGTGACGTGGGATCTGTGTGACGGTGTTTTCTTAACCATGAAAGCTGTTGTTCTTTGATCATGCCCATTCAGAAAAAATAACAGGTGAAGCGTATCTAAGCAAGAGTTTCTGTTGACGTAAGGGTTTTGTTTTGAGTGAGATCCTAAAGAAATCTTAAGAGGCTTTTAAAAAGACTTGGGGAAAAAAAATCCATGTCTATATGGTGGTTTTCTTGTCCTCTGATATGTAACAGAAGCCAGTGGAGTTTGTTGGGAGGTTTGCTCATGGTATGTGGAATGGTAAAATGCATCCAGCAGTGGTTTTACACATGTGCTTTGTTTCCTGTCCAGCACAGGCAGTGGAGGTGGATGATAGCGTGGAGATTAGACATAGCTTCAGCTCGTTTAACACTAGTTGATGGATATGTCTGGGGAACTGCTGATGGAGTTGTCAGGCTCACTTAATTTTGTCAAGCTGTGCACAGCATCCCTCACCTGCTTCCAGGACAGGCACGGTACCCCGGTCTGAGGACCCCTCATTGCATTAATTTTCTCGCCTATTAGAGGCACTTGGAGGAAACAATGATCTGGCAGTTTCTGCGGAAAAATATCCTCTTGTTGAAATCATATTACAGAGGAGGCTTAATTGCTGCAGGTGGCAACATTCCTGGAGAGACAAATCCCAGCTCCTGGCATCATCAGGCTGATTTCCCCAAGGTAGGCAGGGGCATTCCTCATCCTTTCTGTCCAGCTGCGTTCCAGAGATTGCAGCATTGTGGTCACGCCTAAAAAATGACAACCAGGGACTAAACCTCTCCGCCGTTTCCTCCTGCCCACACACATGCTCCGCAGTTTCTAATAAAAAAGAATTTCCACCTAAAGCGGGCAGCGGCAGTCATGTTTCTGTCTGGCTTTCACGTTGGATTGATTGTTGCTGCATTTCTAAAGAAAAATGCATATGGCCAAATGCAGAAGCCTTTAATTCAGTAAATTGTTCTGGTTTATAATTGGCCAGGAAGCATCCTTTCCGGAGAAGGAACATCTACCATCTAAAAATGAAGAGTGTATTTTGGTTTTCTTTTTCTTTTTTTTTTCTTTTTTAATTTTATCTTCATAACATTGTGTAAAAGAGCCCAAAGAGGGAAGCATTTTATAAAGGAACCAATTACCTACTTTTAAACACTTCTCATGTTACGAACACACATTCATGCTCAGGTTCTCATCACTCTCCTCTCTCTGCAGTAGACTCAGTCCTGTAGCTGCAAGTACTGGAACACTGGAATTGGACTGATGGAATCTGTGTTTTCAGGGTTGATTTTCAGTTTAAAGATTTGGGGCTTATCAGGTGAAGTAGTTCAAGGATTAATAGATGTGGTCACCGGCATACAGGAGCTCAAAGTGGAAGTGGCATATTTTTAGCCAAAGAAAGAGAGAATAATGTTTATAAAGCTGGAATATCTTTGGGATCCAAACCTCGATGTTTTAGAAGTCACAAGAGAGGCAGGATCAGAATAGCCAGACCTGTGTTAATTCCTCCTGGATTTGCATCAGTACTATCTCTGGACCTAGACTACAAACTTGGCCAAAAACCACCCCAATACCAAGAAAAATCCCCTGTCCTGATTTTTACTGTGATCTTCAACTCTACTGGAAAACTTATCTGTTAAGGTGGAGGTCTCATGCCCGTTCTTGTTGTTGACTCCAGGAGATGATGGGAGATTTTGCAGGTGCTGTAGGGATGTGTTCTGCCCCGTGGCTGCAGCAGTTGAGCAAGGTCCTCAGAACAATCCCAACTTCACATGGTGTTCCCACCGCTTGGCTAGCCTTCCTGGAGGCTGATCTCTAGTTGGGAGGACGTGCCACGCTGAACAGGGTGAATTCCTGAAGTACTAACGAGAAAAAGGCTCAGAGAAGAGCTGGTGGAGCTTTTTTTTATGCGGTGGCTAAGGAGGCACTTTTCCTGATCTTTGTCATCTAGGATCCATTTGAGGAGCAAAACACTGGCTTGTCTCTCTGCGTTTTTTCTTTCTTTCTTTCAAGACAGTGTATGTGTGTGTCAGGGAGGAAGGCGAGGAGCTGAAAGATGGAAAACTCTTTGCTGGCACAAATAAAAGGCGTAGTAAGACTCCTGTAAGGAGATAAGTTCTCACATCCAAGTCAACATGAAAACCCAGGGCTGGAAGGAGCGGGTTTGCACAGGCTGAGCCCGTTGGAAGGCTGTGCGGAAAACTCCTTTATGTGGCGACAGCAGAGATGCTGAACTAGGCGAGAAACAACTTCAGTAGAAAGAGCAAACTGTGTCTGGAGGGATTGCCTTTCTTCAATTTTTGACAAGTGTCTAGTGCCTGTTGTGTGCTATCGCTGTGTAATTAAATACACATCCGCGCGGGTTTGCACAGGCTGAGCCCGTTGGAAGGCTGTGCGGAAAACTCCTTTATGTGGCGACAGCAGAGATGCTGAACTAGGCGAGAAACAACTTCAGTAGAAAGAGCAAACTGTGTCTGGAGGGATTGCCTTTCTTCAATTTTTGACAAGTGTCTAGTGCCTGTTGTGTGCTATCGCTGTGTAATTAAATACACATCCGCGTAGTTCCGAAACTGTGTCTGGAGGGATTGCCTTTCTTCAGTTTTTGACAAGTGTCTAGTGCCTGGTGCGTGCTATCGCTGTATAATTAAATACACATCGGCATAGTTCCGATTTGGGGTGTAAACAGAAAGAGACGGTTTAACAAAGGCAGAGAGCTGCTCCAGAGCTGGTGGGCTCTCAAGGCTCCCAATTTTTAAAGGTTTTTGGCGGTGTGTTGGTAATATTAGTGCCTGGCTAAAATCTGAACGCCTAAAGGAAAACAATCTAAATGCTATCATTTGAGTGAATATCTAAATTATTTGTAATTTATTGTGCAAACAAGCATATAGAAAAGGACACGTTAATTCTTCTCTGTCCTACTGTCGAATTATTCAATAAAGAAATACCCAGGTGGTAAGAAAAGGGCATGGAGCTAGGAACTGCCTTAAAGAGATGGATTTTGATCTGGAAAAAGGATTGGAGCACAGTGAAACAGTACATGTAAGATACTATCTAAATGCTATTTCATGCTGTTTGGGTTAGGAAGACAGTGACTGAAAATTGGCAGATAAAGCAGGGAATTGGGTGTATAGCCATGCAGGGATGGAGTTGCTAGAGAGCACTGCATTAAGGTTTGTAACCACTTATTAAAATATCCTTAGTTATTTATTACCAAATATCTTTGGGCTATTCGCATGAAGTAATGACCATCTAATAAATGAAGAAAGAATCTCTCATCTGCTAGTAGCTACTAAATAACTAAATAATAGGTTCTCACAGGGAAAAAAGAAAATCAGACCAAAATTTAAGGGTTGTTCCAGAGTGTACAGAGGGTGATAGTTACAGAAAACAGCAATGCATGAATCTTATGCATAGCAAAACAGCAATAGGACAAATAGGTACGTAAATGTTTGCTTACTGTCCATGCTGTCTTAAATTACTTTTAAAACAAATCAAAATAAGAAACCTGAATAAATACCATATCAGAGAGTAATTCCATAAATACACCTGGTCTCATGGATAAAAATAGCTGATGATAAATTTAACTAAAGAAAACAATCAGAAGTAACGAGACTGGGATAATATTGAAAAGGTCACTTTTTATTCTGACAAATAATGTGATTTGACAATTTATATTAGTGCAGAATTTCTCTGTAGAAAAATAAGAAGAGAGTCCTGCTGCACTTAGTATCTGGTACTTGCACATCTCTGTTCTATAACACTCTTCAGCACTTCAAAACTTGTTCAGTAGTCTAAAATTAGCTAAAGTTGGTACATATTTCGTCGTATCTCTAGATGAACTCCACTTATAGAAACTTCAATAAAGTATGTACCTGTCTTAATTTGTAAGTACAAACACCTGCTTAGAAATTACCTCCCTTTCTGCACGCCTCATAATCGGTTCTGCACCTGCAGATACACTAATTTTGGAACTTTCACCTGCAAAACCCTTTCCTGCCTTGTTTTTGGCTTTTGGCAGGCATTTGGAGAAAACATTTTCTGGTTGTTGGTTCATGTTCTGTAATAAACCAGGTGAGCTGCTGGGCAGCAGAGATCCACATCGCAAAGCAGCGCGCTGAGCACACAGGCTGCGCGCAGTTTCCTTACCAAGGTGCAAGGGGCTCAGGACCCCTCTCCCTCGTGGGCACCAGGATCTTAAAGCCAGAAGGAGCCTGGAGGTGGGACGTTGCAGACTGTTCTCCCAGCCTTGCGCCATGCTGCTGTTTCCCATGGAAATATCTTGGGCAAAGCAAATCTCGGTGGAAATGGGATGCTGGTTTACAGAAATATTCAGCCAAGTAGTTTGGCTCCGCTGGGCTGGGAGAGCAAGCGTACCCAGTAATCGAGCAGGACGGGCTGTGGTGGGGTGGGTTTGCTGGGAGGCAGCAGGGCTGCAGGGGGCAGAACGTTTGGAAACAGAAAAGCAAAGAATGAACAAGGTAAGCCAGGAATGTGCTCTTGAATCCTCCAGGTCTTGGTAAATATTCTCTTTAACTGCTGATATAGCTAACATGCTAAAACCTTTTTACTCCTGCTGCAAGTTAATCCGGATAGGTATTTCTACTACTTTTATTTTTTTCTCTCTTTTTGATTTATCTCTGAAAGAGGAAGCCCACAGTGCAGTGGAGTTCAGTGAGCCTGCAGTGCCTGCTGAAGTCCTGTCCTTCACCCTTGCCAGATGTATATTTATTTTCAAACCTTGTCTTTCAAGGAGTGCTAAAAGAGAAGCAACAAATGACGTGCAGCATGGAACAAATGGTTAGCTGGGTTAATTTTAAAAAACATAAACATAAACCAACCCCAAACCCT